GAGGGCAAGAAAATTTGGAGCCACAGGAGGCAAAGTTTAGGTGTGCAAATAAAGCAGGGGAGGGAATTTTTCAGGCCTTTTTCAATTATTATGACTTGATCTGTCAGTATTTTCAATCTGATCAGCCTATAGATGCACACAAAACAGGAAGTAAACCAAAATTTGCATATAATTTTCTCTGTCTCTCAGGTCTCTGGCCTTGAGTAACATCCTTAAATGAGAATTGTCTTTGCTTTTAACCTGATAAAAGAGTTTTTTATACATTTTCATACAGCATTGCTAATGAAACAGTTGTACTCAGTCGGAGACTATGCCTAGGTAGAGAAACTCTTGAAAAATGGATCACTGCTCAATGGTGGATGTTTCTGTACCACCACTCATCTTAAGGACTAGAAGAAATGGTCATAAGATGAGATTCAGATTGGATGCTAGGAAGAAATGTTTTCCCTTTGTAGGTGTTGAGGTGTTGAGGGGATATTGTCCAGGGAGGTGGTGGAGTCACCATCCCTGGAGGTGTTTCAGAGGAGTCTGGATGTGGCCCTGGAAGATCTGATCTGGGGGTTCCAGCAGTGACAGGTTAATGGTTGGACTTGATGATTTCAGGTCTCCTCCAACCTGGACAGTTCTCTGATTCTCTGATTTCTTTTTCCCCAGGTTAATGAAGTGGCAGTAGAAGACATTCGTCCAAGGCCACAAGGATCCTCTCCAGTTTATGAGTATCCCGTAGAAGACGACTATTTAAAGGCAAGACACTGAGTTTTCATGCTGACATGACTTCATCAAGCTGATTCAAGAGATTTTAGCTCCTGCAACTAGCAGAGACTCATTTCATATAATGGGATATTGTTGCAACCATATTTTCTTCCTGTCCCCACTGAAATTGGGTCTGTGTTCATTGATGGCTTTATTTTGTACTGAACTTGCTGGCCACATCCTTCAAGTGCATTTGACTTTAGTCCTTAAAGGGCATGGGGCAGAGGAGTAAAGAAATCATAATGTTTTTCCTGTTAGAATAGATAACTGGCTGGAATTTAACTAATAAGTATCTTGAAATTACCTGTACCTCTTGGGTATTCAAAGTTAGAGATTTAGTTAGTACAGACACATGAACAACATTTGAAATTCATGCTGAAGTCGATCTTGGAGGTCTCCTCCAACCTTGTTGATTCTAAGTACATAAATATATGTCTACAAATTGAAAGCATGGGCTACATTCAGACACAGAAGAGGTCCCAATGTCTTAAGGCATTTGTTCTCTGGCATTCAGTGAATGCAAATTTGGGTACAAAGAATGTAGGCCTTGACATCTAACCTGTTACTGGGAGCAGAATAGTTGAATCATTCACAAAGTGCATTGCACTTGTAGGTCTCAATTTTGCTCTATTGCCTTTAAAGTCATCCTCAGTTCTTAGTCTAGACTAGGAATTTTCTCTGACTCTTGTCATGGCTTCTGAACACTAAATCATGGAAAACTATTTTTCAGCTTCAAGAAGAAAACAAAAAAGACTCTACAGTCAAATCAAAGCAGTGTCACCCACAGGTGAGTCTAAATTTTAGGTATTGCCTTGCAAATAGCAGAGTTTGTTACAGCACACAAAGGTGAATGGAGGGACAGGAGGAAGGACAAATGGGCAGAGAATCGATTTAGACTTGTTTGGACCAGGAATATCATGAATTGCCTATCTGCGGCACAGGCATAAACACTTATTTATCCTGTTTAGGCTCCTTCCATACTTCCTTTTAGCATTCTTTCTTTAGTCTTCTCTGGTTTGGGTTCAGCACAGTGTTAGCTCTTTGACTTTTCTGGCCCATTGACTCTAAATCGAGTGCTTAACCTCCTCACAGAACATACAACATTTCAGCCCTAAAAGCTTCCACATATTTCACATTTTAGAATTAGAACCTATTTTCCCTATGGCTCTGGTCCAACATAACCCTAACACATGTGCTTAACTCCAGTTTAGAGCAGAATCAAACCCACCCTGAGCAAGGATATTCTCTATTTCAGACACTCTTCCTTGGTCTATTTGAAAATATACTCGAGGAGACTCAACTTTTTGTTGTAGAATAATCCTTTTGTAAAATGAATGAGAATTTTAAATTCACACCTCTTTCTATCTCCAGGAGACAATGGAAGTGACCCTGAAAACAGAAGTGGAAGCTGGTGCTAGTGGGTTCAGTGTGAAAGGTGGAGGGAATGAAGGAATATTTATTAAAAGGGTACTCAAGGAATCTCCTGCCTCAAAAATATTTAGTCTGAAAGAAGGTACAGTCTGATTTTTGTTCAGATTTGACTTGATGTGTTTGAATTATGAGATATGGAGCTGTGTGTGCCTACAGGTACCAACCTGACCTGTCATCTCTTTAGGTAACAGCAGATCACAAACCAATTAATGTTATCTATTCTATGTGCTATACTAGTTTTTTGTAATATCAGATATGAAGATGCACTCTGCTCCGCCCATCCAGCCTTAACTATTCCATGATTCTATGACATGGACATAATTTCTTACTTGAAGTAAATGGGATGTGATAATTACTTTTTATGGGCAAGTAAACCCAAAGTAACTGCCATGCTTTGTGGTTCCTCTTGCAGGTGATCAGCTCCTCAGCACTACAATATTTTTTGATAATATCAAGTATGAAGATGCACTCAAGATTCTCCAATATTCTGAGCCCTACAGAGTCCAATTCAGCCTCAAGAGGAAAATTGCTGTGAAAGAAGATCTGGAAGACTCTGCAGCCCAGTCCAAAAAGGAAAGGATAAGCCAGGTAGGCACTTGGTTAGTTTGCAAAGTTTGGATAACACAGTGTAGGAATGTTCGGTGTGGTAATAGATAGGAAAACACACATTTGAATCTTCTCAAGGCTTAGATATGTGTTGAAACTTAGTAGCATGAATGTTCTTGACCAAAAGGAAGAAATTCCACATAACATTTGCAGCTTTTTCAATATCCTGATTTGATATAAATCCAGAATCTTGGGTTAGGGTGGAAAAAATTCTTCAGTGAGTCAACATTTTTGTATTGTTAAATGTGTATAGACAGAGCAGACTCAGGTGAGTTCTGTAGTACTTTTTGTCAGTATGGTCAAAAATGCAAAGTATCAGTAAATATTTTTATCCAGAGTTCATCCATGATGTTTTCTCTTAAAAATGTGTTTAATCACTGATATCTCCATAGACATGATGTGTCCATAAGTTTCCATCATGTGAATGCTTTGTACAGGCAGATATATAGACACATAGAGAAACCTCTGTTTGTTGCAATGTTTTACAAAGAATGCAAATCCTCAAGTATCTGTGTCACAGACATATAATCCACTTGTTTGATGGAATTTCTGCCTGACATTTTATATGTGTTTCAGAATTGTTTTATCTAAGGAATAGATACTATTAATACACACAACATTTTGAATGTATTTTATAGTATGGCTTCAATGTTTGGTCGCAGTTCTGTTTAGATTACTTCTGATCTTCTGGCTACTCTTTATCATTTCAGGAGAAAGAACTCAGTGAGAGCAATCCTGAGGAATCACTGCGTGTTTCAGGAAAAGCCATTGCAGAAGAAGACATGGAAACGTTGATCGCGAGCCAAAGGGTAGGAAGAAGCAAGAGACCTAAAAAAGAGAGACTGTCATGGCCAAAATTCCAGTCGATTAAAACCAAAAAGATACTGAGGCACAGAAGGTCTCACAGTACATCAGATGCATACGAACCTGCTCTGCAGGATATTTCCCCTACAAGCACAGACACCGAGTCTCAGTTTCCACCAGAAGTCCATACCAAAGAGAAAAAAGGAAGCCAAAAGAAACTGAAGTTCCCTAGCATTGGATTCAAAATGCACAGGGCCAAAGCAGAACCACAAGACAAGCAAAAGAAGGAAGTTAAATCTACTCTGATCTCTGAAAGAGAAAAAATACATGAGGAAGATGTTAGCCTGGAAAATCCTGAAATCTTAACTGTTGAATATACCACATCTCCTGCTTATGAAATGAAAGCAGGGGAGGTGCATGAAACTTTGACAAAAGACTTCAAAGAGATGAAAAATGGCATTCCATCTCGTGCGAAGCAACGTCCTGAAGTTGAAATAAGCATTCAAAAAGAGAAAGACAAGGAATCAACATCAAAATTGAGGATCCTGGAAGAACCAGACAGAGCAACGCAGATGCCAAAGCCCAGTTTAGAAACACCCGATTTGAAAGAAAGCCCAACTAAAAAACCACCTCAAGCTTCATCAAAATCCCGAAAAAAGAAACAGAAAGGAACAGCAGATAAAAAGGAAGGAGAGGGTGGAATTGCCATAGAGGTGACGGATCACACAGCTAAGGGATCTGTACAGGTGAAAGGCCTAGAAATAGGAACTGCTAAAGCAGAATTACACACGTCTGACACACTGGAAGCAGGAGGAAAACAAACAGAGGAAGACACACAAACCCTAACAATTCAGAGAACAAAATCTGGGATTTCAATGCCCAAAGGAAAAGAGGCAGAGACAGAAACTACCAAACCAGGAAGTGATGTTCCACTTTCAGTATCAGAAAAAGTAGCTGATACAACTTCAGAGGGTGGCAGGGGTTTGGATGTGAAAACTGAT